ACTTAACTTGATTATATCATTGGTTAAGAGAGTTTCTTCAATTGTAAAATTATCACTTATATTTTGACGGTTTTGAGAGCCTTGTGAAAACTCGATTGTAAGGATAAGTGCTTCTTGTTGTAAGTTACCTAAGCACATGTGCTCCTTGTTGTAAGTCACTTAAGGGTAGGTGATTCTTGTTGTAATTCACCTAAGGATAAGTGCTTCTTGTTGTAAGTCACTTGAGGATTGGTACTCCTTGTTGAAAGTTATCATTATAGTGCATTTGACATTGCTCGTGACGGAGAGCTTGGTAATGGGGATGTAGAACACACTGTGTATCAAACCCCATTAAATTGGTTTGTAATCTTTACATTATCGCTAGGGGTGGCAATGGGCCTAGCCGAGCCGACTCGGCTTATTGCCCCACGAGCTTGGCTCGTGCTCATCACGAGCCGAGCTCGTGGCTCGTTTGTAACGAGCCAAGTACCCGCTCGGCTCGTCGGCTCGCCAATTTTTTTTTAAAAGGTAAGATAAGGCTTTTAGAAGAAAAAAAAATTTCGGCGAGCCAACGAGCTGGCTCATGGCTCGCCACCCACGAGCGACTCAGCTCGCCTAACGAGTCGACCTTCTCAGCTCGGGCTCGGGCACGTATTTTTTACGAGCCCGAGCCACTTGGGCTCATCTAAAACAAGCCGAGCTGGCTCGGATCATTTGCCACCTCTAATTATCGCACTTTATTTTACATTGTGCTATATTTACTTAAGTGACAATGCTTGAATTGAGTTATCGAAGTTGCATATTTATCTCTTCTATTACACTTTGCATTTGTTTCTTCTATATTGGATAGTTTTGAGATTAATTGTCGAAAAAGTTTCAAAAACCAATTCACCCCCTCTTGGTTAGTTATTATTGGGCTACCAATTAGTATCAAAGCAAGGTGCTCATTTTTAAAGATTTCACAATCTTGAGTAATGGCTAGCCACATTTTTCAAACTCTTGAGGGGTGTTCTACAAATCGTCCTCATTTATTTGATGGTACTAATTATAACTATTGGAAAACTCTAATGACGATATTTATTCAATCCATAGATTATAACATTTGAGAAGTTATTGAAAATTATGGTTAAATGCTAGAGCCAAGAGTATACTTTATTGTGCATTAGATAGAAATGAATTAAATCGTATTAGTACATGTGATTCGGCTTATGATATTTGATATACTTTAGAAATTACTCATGTTGGAACTAGTAAAGTAAAAGAAGTGAAGATAAATCACTTAGTTAAAGATT